TAATACGGACAAATATTTTAAGTAAAATGTACATCTAAGACAATGCATATGATGCTTATTTTTATTAATATCAATATGCTAAAAACCAACAAAAAATGATATGTTAGTAAAAAAAAGAATAGGGTTCAAAGGAGACTGAAGAGGTCACAAGTTACCACTACTATATAAGTGGTTGGCAAATCAATCATAGGAGGTGAATTATATTAACTTTCAAGGATTTTGTGGTCTTTATAGACGATACGAATAGTTTAGGCATCCAAAATTCACAGAGAATAAATTAAAATTGTCTCCAATTTTTAAATTTTGAATGGATAGAAGTTGAGATCTTTATCTAATTCATATATAATAGTGGTGTTTGAATATATTACTGTGATACAAGAAATCGTGATACATGTTATTTGCTAATGATATTAAAGTTATGGAGAAGCACTCTAGAGAATAATATTTAAGAAAGAATATGTAGAAGAAGTAATATTGACTATATGAATTGTAAGTTTAGTCAGCACACGAATAGTGAATCTAATGTGACGTACGATAAATACAAATAATTCTAATATTTAATTGCATGGTTGAAATAAAAAATAAAATAAAAAACATTTTATCTAGGTAGTTGAGGAAATAAAAGAACAAATTTTGGGAATTTTCCTTTCTCTGTATAAACCTTGAGTGAGAACCATCTGTACAGTATACATATTTATATAAGCAAAAAGGAATCTAGCTATAACAAACTCCTACAGTTGTCGTCTTTCTATTTGTTTATGGCTAACAAACTAAGGGATAATTACAAGAATAAAAGGAAAGAAAATCTGTACAAAAATAAGAAAGAGAAATTATCAGGTGGGCTGAAGAATAATTAGACCAATTATCTGAGGGAGGCCCAAGTTTGTGAAGCCCGAAGTTCAAACTTATTTAGCCGCCTTGTATTGTCTTCACTGTTGGACCTGGATGTTTTTCATAATGTTCACCATTGTCAACACTGGTTCCAATACCCCTCCTCAAGTTGGAGGGGGAGGAAACAACACCCAACTTGCCCCAATAGAGTGTGATGAAGAGTGCCAGTCAAAGGTTTTGTGAAAAGGTTAGCCAATTGAGAAGAGGAACGAACAAAAGAGAGGGAAATCAGACCAGCTTGAAATTGTTGACGCACAAAGTGACAATCGAGTTCAACGTGTTTGGTGCGTTCGTGGAAAATGGGATTTTTCGCTATATGAATAGCAGCTTGGCTATCTGAAAAAAGAGGAATAGGAAGCTCGATAGGAATTGTTAGATCAGAGAACAAACGAACCAACCAAGTCAATTCACCCACAACCCGTCTCATGGAGCGATATTCAGCCTCAGCAGAACTGAGGGAAATGGAGGTCTGTTTCTTGGACTTCCAAGAAATTGGAGAAGAACCCAGGGAAATGTAGAAACCACTCACTGACTTGCGCGAATTGGGACAAGATGCCTAATCAGCGTCGCAAAAGGCTAATAATTTGAAGTCAGGAGTAGAAGACATGAATAAACCTAGACTAGGGTCGCGAAGGAGATAACGAAGAACTCGAAGAGCAGCTTGCATGTGAGGAAGACGAGGATCTTGCATAAATTGGCTTAAATATTGGACAGTGAAAGCCAAATCTGGTCATGTATGGGTGAGATAATTTAGCTTACCCAATAGATGTCGATAAAGCGTAGGATCAGGAATAGAATCCCCTGTTTTGGCAAGAAGTTTGGTGAAGGGATCAAGAGGTGAAGAAACAGGGGTAAGATGTGAAGAATGAAACTCCTCCGGTAAATCCAGGGTGAATTTTCGTTGGCTAAGAATAAGACCATGAGATTCACGCAGGACCTCCATGCCAAAGAAGTAATGCAAACTGCCCAAATCCTTAATCCTGAATTCATTGTGCAAGAAAGCTTTGAGATTGTTGAGCTCATTCATGTCATTTCCCGTCATTAAAATGTCATCGACATAGATGGCGACAATAGAAACAGAGGAGTCTGTCTTTTTGTAAAACAGACAGTAGTCGTTGAGGGAGAGTGTATATCCCTTAAAAGTGAGAGCAGTGGTTAGTTTCGCACACCATTGTCGAGAGGCTTGCCGAAGACCATAAAGGGATTTCTTTAAGAGACAAACATGATTGGAGGAGGGAGAAGTGACAACTGCTGGAAACATCATGTAAACTTCCTCCTCTAGATCACCATGTAAAAAAGCATTGTCCACGTCTAATTGAAATAGACCCCAACTTTTCTTAAATGTGATGGACAGAATACATCTCACTGTGGTCATTTTGACAACCGGTGAAAATATTTCAGTAAAATCGATCACTTCTCGTTGAATATCCCCTCGAATCACCAATCGTGCCTTCAATCTTTCCACACTGCCATCAGAATGGTGTTTGACTTTGTATACTCACTTATTAGGTAGGGCTTTCTTTCCAGGAGGAAGCTCGACGACGTCCCATGTGTTATTCAATTCAAGGGCTGTCATTTTCTTGGCCATGGCATCCTGCCATCCTGGGTGTAAAACTGCCTGAGTATAGCTAATAGGTTCGTGTAGATGAGAAAGAGTATTTAACAAATGTTGGTTGGAAGATGATAGAGCAGTGAAAGAGAAGTGGGAAGGAGTGACAGGAGAAAGAAAGCAAGAAGCAGTGAGATCAGTGAGTTGGAGGGCATTACAAATATAGTCCTTCAAGTAAGAAGGTGCAGTGTGCGATCTGGAAGATTTTCGAATGAGTGTATCAAGCATAGAATCAGAAGATGGAGCAGGGGAAAATGTGAGGGGTTGTGAGAAGCTGAAGTAGGAGAAGAAGGGGTGTCCAAAGACACAGATTTAGGGGAAGGAATCGGAGGATCAGTTAAAGGCAGAGTAGGAGTAATAGAAGGAGGAACCTCAAGGGACTGATCCATGTGATGTGGAGAAGAAAGTTGAGGCAAAAAAGGAATCTGAAATGTAGGCTTGATGGAGGAAAAATGGGAAAATAGTTCATGAAAGACGACGTCCCTTGAACGAAAGATCTCATAGTTTTGAGATTAAGTAATTTATATCCCTTTTTGCCATGAGGATACCCTAGGAAAACACAAGAGACGCTTCTTGGATCAAACTTTGTCCTATGAGTTGATAAAGTAGAAGCAAAACAAAGACACCCAAAACTTTTCAAATTGGTGTAAGTAGGCACAGTGTGAAATAATAACTCATAAGGGGTTTTGTAGGAAAGAACCTTAGAAGGAAATCGATTGATCAAGTAAGTTGTTGTTAAGAGACAATCACCCCAAAATTTTATAGGCAAGTTAGACTGGAAAAGGAGGGCCCTGGAAGTTTCCAACAAGTGTTTTTGTTTTCTTTCAACAACGCCATTTTGTTGTGGACAAGAGACACAAGTGGTTTGGTGGATGATGCCCTTGGCAGAAAAATATGCAGAATGAACCTTTCCTGATCCTAATTCAAAAGCATTGTCTATCCTAATGGTTTTTACTTTTACTTGAATTGTCTTTCAACCATGTTTAGGAAAGATTTGAGAACTGTGAAAGCATTGGATTTGTTGGTCAATAAATGTGTCCAAGTACCTCGACTGAAATCGTCGACTATAGTGAGGAAGTATTTGAAACCATCAGACGTGTGATGCTTATAAGGACCCCAAGTATCCATATGGATTAATTCAAAAACAGATTTGGTGGAAATGCAGCTAGAAGGAAAAGGAAGCTTATGTTGCCTAGCCATGGAACATATCTCACAAAGAACAATAAAATTGGATTTAGAAGTTATAGGAATAGAGAAAAAAAATTTCATATTGCTCAAAGGCATGTGGCCTAATCTGTAGTGCCACAAATTTTCTTTTACATTGGAATTAAAAAGACTGAAACTAGAAACTAAAGCAGGAAGAGAGTTTATAGCATTACTCTTTCCTGTGACAAGATTTTTGCGTAACTTAGTACTAGATTTGGAAGGAAAAATGGCAAGACTTGGCTTGGCAATGTAAAGACCTCCTGCTGCTTTACCAATCTCCAGAGGGCTCTTCAGTGAAGGGCCCTGCAAAAAACAAGATGTAGAAGTGAATAGAACAGAGTGAGATAATTGTTGAGACAATTTATTTACAGACAGAAGATTGAATCTGAAAGATGGTATATAAAGAACATGTTCAAGAACAATATTAGGAAAAAGGGAAACAGATCCATAGTGAGTGACTCGAACTTTGTGTGAATTAGGAAGAGTGATCATAACAGATCTAGGTAGAGGTTTCAAATTAGAAAGAAAAGATTTATTAAAGGACATATGCTCAGAAGCACCACTGTCTATAATCCAAGAATCATCTGTATGAGCAAAACATGCATAGAAGTTAAAGAAATTAGCTATACTAGCACAGTTGGCAGTCGTCATATCCTCATAAATATTCCCCCCTTGCTTGAATTGCTGAAGTAAAGACAATAGATGTCTTATATTCTCTTGTGTGAGGTTTAACGGATCAGCTACATTAGGCCTTGCCTGCTCAGGGTCAACTCTGCTACTTGCAAGAGCTGCAGTTTGAGTCATTTTTCCTTTTGTGAACTTGAAATCAGGAGGAAATCCATGGATTTTGTAGCACTGGCTTATGTTATGCCCAACCTTCTTACAGTAGTTACAGATGTATGTGTTCTTCTTTGGAGTATAAATTCCCTTTTGTCCCTTATATTCACCAGACTTTCTGTTACCAGGTGGCTGATTAGCTGCAGTGAAGAAAGCCGAGTCTGCAAGATAAACAGGGGATGAGTTGATCTCCCTTTGCTTCTCATCCTGCATCACAAGAGAATAGGCTTGTCCAATAGATGGTAAGGGAGAGGATATGAGAATGTTGTTCCTTACGCCGATGAAGATTTCATTCAAGCCCATCAAGAATTGAAGAAGTCTCTCATCTTGATGTGCTTTGAGATTCTTGATTTTAGCCCCACATTCACAGTTGCAAATGCAAGCAGAAAACGTGTTGAGAGCATTAAGCTCATCCCAGAGACTTTTCATTTTAGTGAAATACCCAGACACGCTAGAATTACCTTGAACCAAAGCACCAAGCTCTTTTTGCAATTGAAAAGCTTAGCCCATTGGGTTGGCCAAACCTTTCCTCCAAATCTTTCCAGAGGTCTTTAGCACTGTTAGAATAAAGCACACTCTCAGCAATTTCTTTTGATAAAGAGTTGAGCAACCATGAGAGCACCGTGTCATTACATCGTGCCCAAGATTTCTGAAGTATGGGATCAGTGGGAACAAGCAAGGATCCATCAGTAAATCCCAGCTTGTTTTTAGCAGATAGAGCTATGACAACAACTCTTCTCCACCCACCGTAACCCTTTCCATCGAAAATAGTTGAAACCGGGTTCATACCTGGGTAATCTGAAGGGTGAATGTAGTAGGGATGAGCAGCATCAAGGGCACCATTATTTTGAGTGCTTGACACTGCCCCAATTGTTGAATCAGAAGAAACACTAGTGCTCATCTTTTCAAAAAAAACAAGACTAAAGGAAAACGAAAAATAAAGGAATTGTTCTAGCAGATTAAACCTGCTTTGATACCATGAGGAAATAAAAGAACAAATTTTGGGAATTTTCCTTTCTTTGTATAAAACTTAAATGAGAACCATCTGTACAGTATACATATTTATATAAGCAAAAAGGAATCTAGCTATAACAAACTCCTACAGCTGTCGTCTTTCTATTTGTTTATGGCTAACAAACTAAGGGATAATTACAATAATAAAAGGAAAGAAAATATGTACAAAAATAAGAAAGAGAAATTATTAGGTGGGCTGAAGAATAATTAGACCAATTATCTGAGGGAGGCCCAAGTTTGTGAAGCCCGAAGTTCAAACTTATTTAGCGTGAGAACCATCTGTATAGTATACATATTTATATAAGCAAAAAGGAATCTAGCTATAACAAACTCCTACAGCTGTCGTCTTTCTATTTGTTTATGGCTAACAAACTAAGGGATAATTACAATAATAAAAGGAAAGAAAATATGTACAAAAATAAGAAAGAGAAATTATTAGGTGGGCTGAAGAATAATTAGACCAATTATCTGAGGGAGGCCCAAGTTTGTGAAGCCCGAAGTTCAAACTTATTTAGCCGCCTTGTATTGTCTTCACTGTTGGACCCGGATGTTTTTCATAATGTTCACCATTGTCAACACTGGTTCCAATAGTAGTTAAGTGTTATTTGAATAAAAGAATGTATACCAATTCATATTAAGGATACCTAAATTGTTGTCCAATGTTGTACTCCACACTTAGCCAGGTGAAAATTAAAGACCAACTCCACTTGCCTAGTCATATAAAGTCATTGTTTTTTTTCTTCCTCTGGTGTTCAGAACTCATATTAGAGCTCTAACTAAATTTGAATCGCGTACTGTAGGATTTATTCAGAGTGACATTCCCAACATAATTTTCTCCATATCCAAGAAACTCGAGACATCTGGTTAATGATGGAGCAATCCCACCACGGCATGGTTTATTCCCAACTAAGCTGGAAAGTGATCATTTTGTGTAACAAATTGCCATATTATATAATAACCTATTGCCCAATTGCCTTTTTGTCAACTATTAATGAAAATGTTGCATTACCAACTGTGTTATTTAATTATTTTCATTTTCTGATACATATAAAAAGAGCAAAACTTGACAATTTCAAGTTTGATAGTGTCAACTCTCCAGCTTATTGCTTAGTAGTATGATTTATAGATTGATCAGAAAAAATTATTAGTCTAGAAAAGTTTCTATATACATAAAATAAAGATGTAGAGTTTAGTAATTTTAGGAGGAATTTGGAGTATTTTAGAGTTTTATAAATGAAAGACCATTTAGGATGATCTCAAAGATTTTTCAAGATCAATCTAAAGTATCATATTGGACTTTTTGTTCTTAGTCTTATAAAATTTATCATAGATGACTTAATTTTTTAGTTTTTATTTACAGATACAAAAAATAAATTACAATATAATCTCAATAATTGTAGTTTTAAATTTTTTATTTTTTTTCATTCACATTTTTTGTGTTTTATTTCTCATATTTTTATGCTAAAAATGAAAGAAAAATAAAAAAATTCAAATAATGATAAGAGAATGGATCTATAAGGGAGATATTTAAAATTTAAATTCGTCATTGAATCAAAGAAGTAAATAAATCATGTATGAGAAAGATCAAGTATACTCTAAACTCTGCTGGATACGGATCATATATATATCTATATATAATTTTTTTAAAATCAAAAATCAAAAAATAAATTCAAAGTCAATGTTTTTTTCATTTTCATTAGATGAAAAAAGTATATGTGAGTCACTTTTATAATTGTAATATATATGAATAACTTTTATAACGAAGAATATATCAACTTTAAATCATAAAATTGAAGGGTATATCATACGATTTTTCTATTACTCCCTACGTCTATCTTTATTTGTCCAATATACTGAAATAGTTATTTAACTTGACTTATTCAAAAAAACTAAGAGATAATTATCAGTTTATGTCTGTTTTACCTTTGCCCTTTCTATTAAATACTATTTATTTTTTAATATTTAAATAATTTATTATTAATAAAAATATTATAATGAAGCTACTCATCTATTTGTGGAGTAAAGAAATATATCAAAATAAACACAAATAAATAAAAACAAACGTGGGAGTATTATAATGCACTATACCTACCTAGTTGATATTTATGAGACTACTTGTATTAGTTGTGTTGGTGGGAGCTGGCCGCTGGGGCATTGATTTCCATATAAGGGATTCATTATCCCCATATATATGATTGTATAGGTGTTGGTCCGAATTTAATATATGTTATTTTATTTGTTTCAATTTATATAACATAAATAAAATTTGGAGAGTCAATTAATTTTTATATAAGTACTTTTAAAAATATTTCAAGTTATTATTTTTTGTGATTCATATTACGTCATTTTTTAATAATTATATTATTTCTTTTATTACAATTTATATAACACAACTGAAATTCTTATATAATGTTTAAATATTTTCAATTGTTAATTATTGTGATTAACTAATAGTATCTTTTATGTAATTTTCAAATATTATATGTCATTTTTATTTGTTTCAATTTTTATTGCACTGATAGCATTTCAAGAATCAACCAAAAAAATTACTATATGTTTTTTAAAAAATTATAATAAGTTGCTAATTATTATTATTTATAATACTTTTTAAGTAATTTTTAAATATATAATAGAATATTTTATGTTGTTAATTATTGTGACTTGTTGTAATTTTAACGTAATTTTTAAATATATAACGTACCGTTAAGAGTTGTGTGCATGTAGCCTCTTATTAGATATTAAAATATTTTAAGTTGTTAATTATTATGATTTATAGTACTTTTTACGTAATTTTTAAATACATAACAAATATTTTAAATTGTTAATTATTGTGATTTGTAACACTTTCAATGTATTTTTTAAATATATATAACGAATTAGGAAAATTAAAACAAATAAATTAAAACAGAGAAAACTTAATTTTTGGAGTGGGGTCCACCTTTAACTTAAAAGCACACAATTTAAATAGACATGCCGTTCAAGAGCTATGTACTTCCTTCGTCTCTTTTTAATTATCTTTTTAACATTAAAAAAAATTGTCCCAAAATAATTATCACTTTAAAAATTAAAAATTAAAGTTAATAATTATTTTAATTATATCCTTTAGCATTAAAGAAATTATTCTTTTTAACACTGGTCATCATTCAAAAATAAGAAGTAGAAATAAAGTAGTAATAACTACACCTCGTAAGTTGTATTTGTTATATATATATATATATATTTTTAATGGACGCGAAAAACAAGAGTAAAAACTATGCCTAAAATTAATAAGAGGGAGTTGAGGTGAAGCAAGATGTGTTTTCGTCGTCGTGTCTACTTTATGTTTGTGCCTCAATTTTCTTTTTGTTTCTCTAAAAAAAAATTATTTATCTTTTTTAGAAAAAATAAATAATTAGGCATTTAGTGGTGTTTTTAATTTTTAAATTCATATCTTTTAGTTATAACTTTATTACTTTGATTGTTGTTGATATTTGTGTGAATTTTTGCAACTTCTTAGAGTAAAAAAACTCGTTCGATGAAGAATAATACTTCAGTCATGGATATCTCAATGAGCCTCCTCATGTTAGTTTTACGAGAAAAAAAGAGATAATTTGTGTATATAATTTATTGTAGAACAAAAATTTCAAATCATTGAAATAACTTGATTTAAAATTTATTAATATTAATAATATTTATCAAGAATTTATTTTATACTTGATGAGATAATATTATACCACACAAATATATATAACTTATTTTTATGTAAGTTGGCATAATCTATAAATAGCCTAGAATGATGTAGCTCTTCTTGTACTCCACTATATTTTCCCTAGTAAGCAATACTCTTGATCCCTAGCTCATTTTATAGTTCCAAAGGCATGGGTCTAAAGTCCAAATTGTGTGCCCAAATAGAAGTGAAGGCTAAGAATGATGTGTTTCATGATGCCTTTAGGCACAAATAAGGTTGGCAACGGGACCGGAACCGGGACGGACCGGAACCGGAACGGAACCGGGCACCACGGGACGGAACCGAACCGGAATCGGGACGGACCGAAACCGGTAATTCCGGGAAAAAATCCGTGTACCCGTTCTGGACCGGTAACAGACCAGTACCGGACCGGAAACCGGGTCCCAACTGTTACTTATAATTGGAAAAAAAAAATATTAAAATTAAAAAATTAGGAACATTACACAAATAATATTAAAACTCTTATAATTTTATTAGAAGCAAAAAAATTTATACTTTTAAAGTTTTAAATACAAACTTTCAATCTTTAAAAGTATAAAAGTTTAAATTTCACAATTTAAAACTTTGAAATTTTAAATTCAAACTTTAAAACTATAAAACTATAAAAGTTTGAAAATTTAAATTCAAACTTTAAAACTATAAAACTATAAAAGTTTGAAAATTTAAATTCAAACTTTAAAACTATAAAACTATAAAAGTTTGAAAATTTAAATTCAAACTTTAAAACTATAAAACTATAAAAGTTTGAAAATTTAAATTCAAACTTTAAAACTATAAAACTATAAAAGTTTGAAAATTTAAATTCAAACTTTAAAACTATAAAACTATAAAAGTTTAAATTTCACACTTTAAAAGTTAAATTTGAACTTTTGAAGACAATAATAAAAAATAATTAAGGCGAATAGCCTATACTTTTATTAATATTAATTAAATAGTACAAGTTGAGTTACAAAATATTAGTAGAGTATTAAAAAATCTAATCTACACAGCCACCTTCTAGGAAGTGTTCTGTTTGAATTAGACCTTGAATTATTATATTTATACTAATAGACATTTAAATTTAATAGTTCATGCTACCAAGGAAATCTTTTTTTAAATCATTTAACATTTCTCTACTAACATGCTCTGGAATTGGTTGATTAGCTAGTTCTTCCATTGCA